CTAGAAATAGTAGAGAAAGTTCCTGCTCTCATGGAGCTTTAATTCTATTAGGGAGAGAAATAATAACATATACATGGAATACTGCCAGCTAGTTATGTATTATGAAGAAAAATAAAGCAGGGCAAGAATACAGAGGGTGATGAGGGAGGGGAGGGAGGCAGTTATTTTAACTAGGCCGGTGAGGAAAGGCATCTCTGAATGTTAGACGGAAACTTAAATAACGTGAGGAAGCAGGTGGGGAGATATTCTAGGCTGCGGGAACAGCCAAATGCAAAGCCCCAGAGGCTAAATTACGCCTGGTAGTTTGGTATATTAAAAAAAACACCCAGCGGTGTGGTGGGCAGAGTGAAAAAAGTGTTAGATGAGGTTAGAATCGTAATAAGTAAGAGCAATACTTCTCGGGAAATTTCAGGAATTATTTTTGATTAAACTGAAGATGAAATAGAAATTTCTTTTGATTTAAATTCTATTTTAAAATCTCTCTAAGTTATATATTCACTTCCCTAAGTACAACATAAAGGGTATTTTTTCTTACTGATTGAGTCTTATTCAATGTCACTGCTAGATACATAATGAAGAAAAGGAGCCCAAAGTACATTTAGCCTAAGAGGTTTGAAAATGGTACAAGGTTTCCCTATCTTTAAAACTAAAAACAGTGGTACTCTGGTATTCTAATGATTTTTTTCTCTTTTTCCTAAAACTATACAGTATAGCCCAAAACCTCTAGGTAATTTGAAGATTTTGCAGCATTTGATCTTACTTAAATTAGGGTCCCCCAAAGTAACACTATCTTCCAAAGACTGAGATATAGAAGTAAGGGATCTAATTCAGGCTCATCACTTGCCACTCTTTACCCCCTAACTCGACAATCCAGCCACACTGCCTTTCCTGCCTGAGTCTCTGAAAACATCATCCCTTCAGTCTAAAACTCTTCCCTACCCACTTCATCTAACTGAATCCTGCCCTTCTGTGAGAATTCAGCTTAAAGGAAACAAACTCAGGAAAATAGCTG